GAGGAAAAAAACAGCCTTGAAGATTCATAATGCAGAAGGATTGGGAATTTGCACATAGTGTAAGCAATCATATGGACTTTCAGTATTTTTTATTAGATGTTATTTTTTGCGATGGATTGTGTTTTTGTAACTGTTTTCAAAATTGTTCAAAATGTTGTATTTTTAACCCAGGGACCTTAGGGGGAAGTGTGGGTCGTAAATTAACATAATAATTTATTTAAAGGAAAAATGCAGCCACATCTTTGGGTTCCATTGGGCTTCTTCAGTTATGGCGATGGAGCCATTTTCATAGAATCAGAGAATTGTAGAGTTGGTAGGGACTATGAGGGTCATCTAAACTGTTAAAATTAGCCACTTCTGCACACACACAAAATGAGGCAGATACAGAAACAAACCAATGCCTCTACCACCTTCCATCTTGCTTGCCTCCCTAAAATGAACATTTGCTGTCGCATCATTTGCTAAACTGGCCTGCCTTTCCTTCAGCTTTGGAAAACAGAAGCTGGATAGATTTTCCTCTTCATTTTCTCCTCTCCAAACCTTTCACCCCAATGCAGCTTTAACAAACGTTTCTTTCCTTCTTTTCTTTCTAAGAATGAGCGAGCAAAGCTCCAGTACAAATCAAGTGGGGGGAGCGGTCGGCAGAGAAGGCAGAGGGAGGGCAGAAGTCACCGACTGCCAGGAGCCCCACAAGCCACCGCAGCCACGCAGGACCCGCTTGCCCTCCCTGTTCCTTTGATGTAATTAACACCCCCTTTGTGATTGCCTGTGATGGCGTCTGTCTGCGGTTTAATCATCGTCTTCCCACAATGAGCATCCTTCTCATTAGGGGCTTAAAAACCTCTATTATAAACATGTAAATGGGACGCAGCAAGGAGAGAAATATTTTACCCTGCCAATTTCCTTTTGTGCGTCTGCCAGCGCTGCGTGATTTTATTGCTAAAGCGCCTTGAAGCAGCCCAGGGATTACAGCGCCTTTACCGCCCTGTCACACTTTTCAATCTCCTCTTATCGGGTTTTAATTATGCCTCCCCCTGCCTAATGTTTTCAACTAAAAAGAGAGAAACACAGAGAGAGAGAGAGCCTCTTGTCATCAGTTGATTCAGAAGTTGAGATTTTCATTTTGGCAAATGATATCAGAGCATCTTCCAATGGGTGCCGGCCAGCGTTCCTCTCTCTAGCCTTACCCACCCTGGTTGCCCTGCAGAGATTATTGGACTATGATTCCCATCAGCCCCACATGGCCTGGCCAATGATCAGGGATTCTGCCGATTGTAGTCCAATAAAATCTGGAGGGCACCTTCTTGGGAAAGGATGCTAGGGGCAAGACCTGGTGCTGCTGTTGCTTTCGCTCCTTAGCAGACTGGAGAATGGGACCGAAACTAATGAAACAAATTTCTGTAAAAAGGTGAAATGCTTCTCGGAGATGATATATAATGAGTTGAAAAAAATGTTGAAATATACATTTATAAAGAAACCAGAAGCATTTCTACTGGGCATTGTGGGGAGTGATATAAATAGAAAGGAATGTAAGCTCTTTTTATATGCAATAACAGCAGCAAGAATATTATTGGCCCAAAAATGGAAGCAAGAAGAGTTACCGTCGATTGAATAATGGAGGATGAAGTTAATGGACTATGCAGAACTAGATAAACTAACAGGAATGATTCGAAACCGGCGAGACCAGAAATTCACGGAAGACTGGAGTAAATTTACGGACTATTTGAAAAGTAATTGTGAATAACAGATGACGTTTGTAGGGTTGCAAGAAGTTTTATGAGGAGTATTATTAGAAGTATTGTAAAAATGGACAAGGGGGAGGATGATTTGTTCTGAGATGTAAAGGCAATATAAAGTTAAGAAATGCATAAGAAGTGGTTAAAATGGTGGATCATCAGAGGTGCTGATGGAAGTCCCAAAAGATTGTATAAGTGATAAGTTTTGTGGTACATTATATAATTTATATGTTAAAATTAATAAAAAATATTATAAAAACTAAAAAAAACTAATGAAACAAATTTCAGTAGGGACAAATGTCAGATTGTGCACTAGCAAGCCCCACAGCATCACATACACAGTGCAACAGGACAATGACCTATCCCCCCCAAACAGCATATACGGTAAATCAATATATCTAACCTGATCCAACAGCCTACCTGCCCACCCCCCCCACCCCCAACACATATACAGATAAACCACACTGCAACCAATTGAATGCAACCAACCAAGCTCAGAATGCCTAATCTCTCTCTTTATCAATAAAAATAATAATACATAAACAAAGGGCCTACCCACATGATGCTGGCACAAACCCTCTACGCTAATAATGGGCAACTGAACAAAAGAACAATACCCCATATCTCTCCCCCCTCCTTTTCCCCCTCAATGCAAGATGTCTATGGCAAAAGTGTCTCTCACTAAATGCAAATGAACTGTGAAAAAGACTACAAACAGAAAGCGGAGCAATAGGTGTACCTTTCCCTCTTTCACTGTTTGTTTCGTAACACACAAAAACTTTAATAAAAACTGATTTTTTAAAAGTATAGGATGGGAGGCACCCAGTTTGACAGCAGCGCATGTGGAAAGGACAGCTCCCAGGGTGCTTGGCAGGAAGCCATGACTGTTTAAAGTGGTATAATAGTGTTTTAAATGCATGGTGGGAACATGGCCCACAGAACACAAGTATTGCTTTCAATATTGTGTGTACTGTGATGCCTCCTTTTCTCCTGTGCTTGAAGCACCAGGCCAAAGCATCACTGAGTGACTGAGATCTCAGTTCAAGGCCAAGCTTTGCCACAGTTTGGAATTGTTTTTAAAAATAAGTCCTCCTGAAAATTCATCAGTGTGAATTTCTCCTGATGCGCACAATGATATGTGCAATTGAGGCTAACATACACACTTATGCAAAGCAATTCCCCCCCACACACAAATTTTTGCATGCTGTTGTCAGTAATATATGCATATTTTTATATGCGCCCTTTACCGCAACGTATGCATTTTCGTACACATCACTTGCCAGGAGAGCTGCTCTGCAAAATTCAGAGGAGTGCAAATTCTGAAGGATAGCCGTGGTTTCAGTTTGCACATCATTTTCTCAAAGTGCAAATTATGCCGGTTCGCCTTTAAATGCAGACAGAACAGAATTTCCCACATACCACCCATTCCTACGCACAGGTGTTTGTGCAGTAAAAATGTAATAAAGGTTGTACCATTGGAAAAAAAGAAAAGAGATTAAAATGTACATAATTAGGCAAAGCACATCCTTCACATGACTCCTAAATGTCCCGCTTGGCTCGGTGTTCCCATCCTTGTGCGCGGCTGAATGCCACCATGTGGCCTTTTCCTTTTGTATGCACAGCCGACGTCTTGCTCTCTGCGCATGTTGAAGGGTGACGGAAGATGAAAGAAGCCTGTGCGCCCTTGGAAAGCGCAAGCCTATTAGAACATCTGTTTGCTTTTGCGGCAACGCGGATGTGAAACATCTCCCTCCGACTTCAGCAAACAGGGAAAGCACTTTCTCTCCAACTGTGCCGCTATTTTAGGGATTTCCCCCGAGCTGCTTCTTCAAATGTGTTCGCTGCCAGCTCAGCACACTGCTGATCCCTGAACACAACATCTGCCTCCAGAAATCAGGAAGAGCACTTGATGTGAGAGAGCAGTGGGTAGAAGGAGGAAGGAGCCTCAATGCCTTTTATACAGATCTCTGAACGTTTAGGATTTAGAATATATATATGTATATGATTAGGATATATAATTCACACACAGACACACACAGACACTCATATCAAGCTGTCAGAGAAAATGAAGGATTGTGTTTGCAGAAATGTCAAACCTGCTTCCTCTTGGCTGAGTATTGATCCAGGCCTGGAGGAAAATGAAGATGGAATAGTTCGCACATGTGTGGGTGCATGTCCCTGGATCAGCCTAGCCTCCATTACTGCACACTTGGAAGATCACACATGCATGTTCACCATGGGATCTCGCTCTCTGAGATTACCAAACACCACTGGAAGCTGAATATGTGGACACTGAAAGTCACAGTGTGTGCAGCGATATGAAAATTCTGCCTACAGTGTTATAATCCTGGGATGGTCCAATCACACATGCAAGGACAATTGCCACCTTCGGTCAGGCAAAGTAAAGGACGGGTCGGGCAAAATACAGGACAGGTCGCGGGGGGGAATTGGGAAGCTAAAAATTACTTTGCCTGGTGCAGAAATGACTTCAAAGCAATCCTTCACAATGGCACACAATGGCTCCGTCCCTGGCTGCAGGGTGTACGTGCCACTCCAGGCAGGCACCCGAGCAACTATCCCGTGCCTGGGAGGGCACCCTCTGTGCCTTGCTCCACTCAGGAGCATGCCCGCCTGCCCTGGGCAGCGAGAGCATATGCTCCGCTGCTGATTCTAACCACTGCACCACACTGCCTCTCCTCCAAAAGTCCTCCCCACCAAATGTCATTGAAAGAAGCCTGAATGCGATCCCACAAAGGCCACAGGGCCATCTCTGCTCTGCCTTGCCATGCCTTGTGTGGAAGAAGCTTCGCATCCCAGATTGCACGAGCTTTCTACCAAAAGGAAACGCCGCTTAAGATCTTTGCAGGCGGGGGGGGGGTGGAATCAGCGAGTGTACCAAAGTATCACCAAAGAAGCTGAACAAACCCCTCACGGGCGGAAAAGCAGCAGCAAAGGTGCGGAGTAGAGATAGTGATTTGCGGACTGCCGAGCTTTCAAGTCCAATCTCCCCGAGCAAAGCCACCGATAAAATGTTGCTGAGGTTGGGTCTCTCTCTCTCTCTCTCTCTCTCTTGTGAAGTTAGAACCCTTTTTTCTTTTCCTTCTCCCCCCCCCTCCCCCTGCTTTCTAATTTCATAAACCACCAGTGCTTTGCCTCCTCGCTTGTGCTCTCCTGCTCTCTTGGAGCCCCCCTAAGCCGGTGCAACAGTTCAATAATTACATGTAATTGGATCTCTCCACTGCTGGGGACGTGGCAGCAAGCGTCATGCGGCAAGGAGAGAAATATCACTGGGCCGAGCCGGATGCTGGCCCCCTGCGCCTGATTGCCAGCCGCTTCCATCTGCGACGCAACAGCACAGCCACGGCCAAAGGTTCCCCTTGTGATTGGATTGCCTCGGCCCAGGATCTCATTATGAGCTCCACCGAATTTGCAAAGCTGAGCCCAGCTGGGAAGTTTGCTCACTCACTAAACTTGGCTCCAGACCTCGAGATAACGGCAGAAGGCTATCTTTGGAGCCCTGCGGGCATGGCCAAACAGGGCAAAGTGCAGATATGAATAGGACTTCTTGTTATTAAATATACCACTCCCACTATTGAAACTTACATTGGCCTGAGTTCTTGGTGTGCTATTTTCTTGATATGAATAGGACAGCATTGCCCGGGTACGAATTCCCATGTATTCCTTCATGCATCTGCTCTTTTGCGTAGGACAAAGGCACAGAGCACTCTTCACCAACCTAGCACCCTCCAGATGTTTGGGCCTTGCAGACCCCTCGGGACCAGAGTTTTTTGTGGGTATATTCTGCAACATGTGGTTGGTGCAAGAACAGTGCATTGCTGGTGGGTTTACACTGGACCGTCTGCACATCAGTCTGTTTTATTAGTTGGGCAGAGGATAGAAAGGGGTGGGTGGCTGTGCAAACGTAAAGACTAGCCTAGCGCAAGCACTTGCAGAGGAAGGTGTGCACCGGGTGTCAGCCATGAGGGTGGGTGACATCGCTGCGCCACCCCCTCCACTCGCTGTGCAGGTGGCGGGCTGCTAGGAATGATGCTGCCATGGGCAGCTAGCGGTGCCCCCCAGATGCTTGCTGTGCAGGCGGCAGGCAGCTAGGGAAGCTCGCCACGCAGACAGCAAGCAGCACACACACCCCGCGAGCGATAGGCGGCCAAGGACGCACGTCATGTGGCAGGCTAGCCCCGCCCCCGCGCCGCTCCAGGTGCCGGAGCAGGTAGCTCCGCACCTGAGTGCAAGTCCCCCAAAAGATAGCTGTATGTAACAGCTGCAGCTAGGATTCTTTATGCACAAAAATGGAAGGAAGAAGAAATTCCCAGTAAAGAAGAATGGATAAGCAAGGTGATGGACTATGCAGAATTGGCAAATTTAACAGCCAAAATAAGAGAACCTAATGGTGAATGTGTTGTGGAAGAAGACTGTTTTCTGGCCTCACATTTGCACGCTGCTTCACACTGGCTGCATATCTTTCATGGGTGCATCTCCATCATTCCCTTGTCACGTGAGATGCAGGGCTGGTTTGCAGGACGGGGCCCTTCTGCATGCAAGGGAGCAGCGCTAATGTAGCAGAAGGATGAGCCGAATGCAGAGTGATAGATGCCTAGAGAGAGGGACCCGCCATTCCGGTGGAGCATATGCTTTCCCAGCAGACAGCCAAACGGCATTGTGTAATAAGCACAATAAGACAGGAATGTACGGGGAACAGAGGGAAGATGGATAACATGACTGATGATAGACAGAGCCAAGCATTGTTCTAAATAACTGCAGAGACTGAGGCCTGTTGACAGGCAGATGAGCTGACATCTTACAAGCTGGTAGATAGACAGGGTTAAACTGAGTGCAGGAGCCATAAGCTAAGATTTCTCTTTTCTTTTCTTTTTTTCTTTTTTTACTGGACCAATTAAAATGCTGGAAGGAAGTGCTTTGATCTGCATATTCTTAATCAGGCTTGACACGTTCAGAACACAAATATTTTGTTTTTAAAGGTATTGCATACTACTTGCAACCTGGCTGAGTCTGGAATGCTTTAGGGTGGTGTGAGCTGGGATACTTTTCAGTACACATAATATATTTCTCTTAAAAAAAAAAAAAAGAACTGCATGTCGGGATCATGCGCCAAATTTTGCCACTTTACTCCATGATTATCTGGGTTAAGGGACTTTTCCTGGAATCAAATGCACTGGAAATTCCATTCATTCCTTTCCATTAGTTTTCCAAAAGTAGCATGAAAGCTCAAATATAATGTGAAAGTTCACAGTTAAGGGAACATCTTGGAAATGGAACCAACTGCCATGTGAATGCAGCCTAAATAAGGTCCGTTAGTTTCAAGGAGTAAAAGTTGCTTGAATTGCACCCCAAAGGTCCATCTACTCCAGGCTTCTGCAGCATGTGCTCCTTCCTGATGTTTTGACCTGCAGCTCCCATCATCCCTGACCATTAGTCATGCTGTCTGGGTCCAACATCTGCAGTGCATCAATTGGGAAACATTCAATTTCTGCAGTAGCCAACCAGCTGCCTCTGTCAAGCCCACATGTAGACATGGAGACAATTGCCCTCTTCTCCTGAGCCCCATTGTTGATCTCCAGGGACAAACCATTTGCAAACCTAGACACCCCACATAACTCGTCTTTTGACTAGTAACCATTGATAGACTTGTCCTCCGCAGTAGATTTATTTGCTCCACTCTTCAGAGAGCTGCGGTTTGCTTCAGGTCCATTGCTCTGTAATGTGTGAAAGAGCCTTTAATTAAAACAGACAAGACTATGGGGTAGATGGCGGTGAAACCAGTGAGGTGTGGCGGTGTTGTAAATGGGATACAATTCAAATATCATATGCTCCAAGAGTCCTTATTAACTGGGTATTTACCAAATATTTTGGCAGAGCAGCTGCTTTCCAATGCAGAAGGTCCCAAATTCTATCCTTGGCATTTCCAGGTAAGATTAAGAGAGAGAATGCTGTCTGAAATCTTGAAGAGCCACTACCAGTCAGTGCAGACAATACTGACCTAGATGGGTCATAGTTTTGACAGCTTATATGGGTCATATAAGACAGCTTCCTAAGTAACCTATGACTCTGGAGGCTTATCTCTACCACCTGACCAACCCAAATCAACACAGGGCATACATGCTAGCGAGACTGAATGTGCTACCATGGGCAATGCTACAGATAAGATTCCAGAAAATACCTCTTGCAGAGAGACTATGCCCCTGTGGACTGAATCTTATAGAATCAGTCATGTGTGTTCTTTTGCAATGCCCCTTGTATTAGACAATTCAATCTTAAGTTCATTAATCAGTTGGTTGTTAGCAGGGAGCGGCAGTCAGACAGGTAGCTTTCCTAATGTTTACCTGGGATAGGGAAAAGATGGAGAAAGCCAGGTTTCTGCAACATGCAATGAGGATTCATGGATGGGGTAGGCAATATATCAATATATATCATCCAAAACCAGTTTGAAATTCATATCGTGATGTTGGTTTCATAATGTTTGACCTGGCAATGTATCACGAATCATGATGCGTGTTTGTGTGTGTGCTATGCAAAAATCACAATGCGGGGGAAAGCTGTGAAGCCAGCCAATGCCTCTACATAGCTCCATCCTTATTTCAGACATACAGTTGTACCTTGGAAGTCAAACAGAATCTGTTCTGGAAATCTGTTTGGCTTACAAAATGTTAAGAAACCAAAGCGCAGCTTCTGATTGGCTGCAGGGAGCTCCTGCAGCCAATCGGAAGTTGCAGAAGCCCCGTCAGACGTTCAGGTTCCAAAAATAGTTTGCAAACTGGAACAGTCACTTCCGGGTTTGCAGCATTCGGGAGCCAAAATGTTCGAGAACTAAGCTGTTTAAAAACCAAGGTATGGTTGTATCAGTATATCATGATGTTTAGCTGGGGATATATCACCCAACCCTATTCATGGGTGTTTTACAACAGCATTTTAATTGCTAGATGCAGATTTTGCCGAGTTATTTTATTGTACTGAACCTTTCAGAATTTTGTCTATATGCCAATAGAGGTGTGAGATTGAGATTGAGTAGCCTATGAATGTAGCCTATGGATGTTAAGAAAGGGCTAAAACACCCTGTCTCTTCAATATGGGTGGCCCACACAATGTGACAGGCTTGTGTGGCCTTGTAAATAAAAGGTTTCTAGTCCACAACAGTGAGTGTGGGTCATATGTGTCCTCAAAAGCTGGTCGGGGAAAGGAACAACTTTTCCCGAATTCCCTTGGCTGGTTGCCTGGAAGAGAGTTGGGCTCACCAAAAGGTGACCAGGTGACTGTATCTGTTTGCAAGCCCTCCAGAGGCAAGCAGCACAAATAAATTTTTAGCGGTGAGTCTAACTGGGGCTGGTGAAATGGGAAAGCGAGGCACCAGAGCAACCAACCTTGGTTCCCCTGCTCCTTTCAGCAGCCTGTTCCTTGCCAGGGGAACCTAATTTGAAAGGCACGTTTTGTTTTGTTCGAGAGGAGGAAAAAATATGTCAGCAGGATATTAAGAATGGCTTCCTCCCCTCCCCGCACCTCCCGCTTTCCCCTGTCAGTTCGGTTGCTGGTTTTAAATCTGTTTCTTTTTCTTCCCTGCTCCCATAGCTCCATCCTGAAAAGGAAATGTAACAGTGCAGAGAGAAATAGGAGCGGCTCCCTGGATGGATGGGCCTGACTGGCAATGCATAAAATTACCCATCTTTTCACCTGCCTCCCTGCGTTCCCTTTATTAATTAACTGATGCAGGATCATAGGGGTGCCATTCTTGCCTCCCCTCCCTCTCTCGCTACAAGGTTCGTTATTCCACACCGATGCCTCAGAAACGTGCTTGGATCCCGGGTGGTTCCGGAAGAAGAGGCCGGGTGTTTGACATCAGAATATAAACAGAACGCCATGTCCTATTCTATGCATTCCCCACTGTTTTGCATGATTTATTCAGATTCTGCTAGCTTTGGGAGGGAGGAGCTTAGGCAGGGCATTGAGGCCTTGCCTACAACCCCACGGAAATCTTATTCAACCACCCCTTTCTAGATTCTGACCTCATACGTGCAAGCCATGAGGTCTAGAACCTTGCTTTCTTTTTCAATTGACGCCAATGTCCTTGGGAAGCTGGATTCTGCGCCTCCTTTTGCAGTCCCTGTGAACTCACAGCACGCAACCCCGAATATTGTTGTGTGTCAAGGTCCCCAGGGCCACCCCAATAACTCATACATCACACAGAAATTTTTGTTTAAGGTTTTTGGCATAATTTTGGCCACAACTTTACTAAAATACAAAAATGTGAGTGGTTGCTTAGGCATTGGTTGCGACTATCTGCCCCCCCCCCATGGGGGACAGACTGACATTCCGCACGCCTGCGAAAGTCAGAAAACAGGAATACACTTGGGGGTAGCGACGGAGCAGGGAACCTGCCCTCAGCCCTCCCCAAATGCAACCAGGAGCTCTTGCAATGGCCCGAGCCCCCTTGACAGGGTGGACAAGCAATAGTTAGCCCCTGATTCCTTTAACGGAATCCCTTGCAGCAGCAGCATTAGAGGGGCAGGCACAGCCAATCCATGCTC